GTCACCTCTGGATCTTCACATCCTTGCCCCTACAACCGACCGCTTCTTCTTCGTCTCACCCACCCTCATCTTGCAATCGTCACGTATCATCATCGGGCCCCGTCACCGTTGTAGCCTCTACCATTCCGTGTCTCCTTGTGCCCTGCCTCTTTCTCTCTTCCCCGGCCTCGCATTCGCACCAATGCAGCATGGCTGACTCACCTAATCGGCCCAACTATGGCAGCCTCAGCAATCGCAGCACCGCATCCCGGAGAAGCCGACCTTCGATGCGTGTCACATCGGCTCGCTCATCCGTGGCCTACGATGACTACCCCTCCTACCTGCACCCCCACGCGCTTCGCTCCGTCAGCTCGCGCTTCTCCCTTGGCGATTTTGCCGCCACGAGAAGCGAATTTGACTTTGACGATGATGCGTCCTCCATCTTTGAGAGGGCCACAGTCGCATCCGAGGCTGGTGACGTAGCCGGTGATAAGTTCGTCGGCGTTGGTGGTCTGAACCTGGATCTAGATCAGGCCAACGGGCCTGGTCAGATGGTCATCGAACACAGGGAGGACGACGACGAGGGTGGCCCATCGGGCGACTATTACGACCTTCTCTGTCTGCCTCAAGACCCCTTGCTCACTCCACGCCGCATTCGACGGGCATATTGGACGTTGCTGGCTCTGCTTCTCGACGACACCTACCCAGAGAACTTGAGCCCTGTGGCGACGGCCTATCTGAACGAGGCGCAGTATGCCTTTGAGACGCTCATCGACCCGGCGAGACGGGCCCATTACGATATGACGTCGCGAGCCTGGCTTATCACAGATGACGACTTCCAAAAGGAGAATTCTGAGGAGCTTTACGAAGACGCCCTGGTACACCACCAATGGCTCGCCCAGCGTCGAGACTTGGAATCATCGGCCATCACCCTACGTCTCGATGCTTCTGCTCTGGTCCAAGGTGCGCGCCAACTAGGGAACCGAAATGTTTTCTTACAGCCGCTCGACTTTGCACTCAGCCAGTCAGTGACAACTGCTCTCCCTCACTTCGGCCGCTTCTTGATGAGTCTTGTCGACGACCGACGATTTACATCACACGCGCGAGCCACTGGCGCGCTTACCGAGCTGACGGCAGCCCCGAACGTTTACCTTCCTGCGCCAGAGCTGACCCTGTCGGGCTCAGCTTACGGACTTTTCGATGTGGTAGCCATCCCCACCAGCCTGCCCGACCTAATCTACCCCTTGCACACGCCTCGAACACTAAGCCCCAAGCTCCCACGTCTGGCCACAGGTGCCTTTTTTCCGGGCGTCAACCTCGATTTGCACCAGGACATTCTCCGCCGGACTGCAGATGGTGGTGTTTTGAAGTCGTTTGTTCGGTTCTACTGTGACCCTTTGGGACGAAGGCTAGGCACTTGTCTCTCGCATGAGGTGGCTGTCGGCAAGAAACCTCTGACCATCGAAGTGAATACGCAGTCCTCACGCATAGCCTCCCACACCCTCTCTCAGGCTGCCGCCGGGCTGAGCTATCCAGTGGGGAACGGCCTTGCCTATATCAGTGCCGGCAGCGATGGTTGGCGAGGAGACATGATTGGCACCCTTTCAGCGAACCAGAACCGGGTTGAAGGGGGTGATCCTAGTGTCGGGCTCCCTCTTGTATCAACACCCACACTTGAGCTTGGATTTGCCACGGCTTCTGTGCGGCCCTTGACAGCTCTCGGACGCTATGATCCACAGCTGACCAGTGGAGGTATATACGGACTGGACCACGAAACGGACGGCCCAGAGGACGGGTCCTGGTCTGCACATGCGTCACTGACTTCGAGTACAGCCACGGGATCCCTCCGCTACAGTCGGGATGTCTCTGGCTTGGGCAGCTCGTTTTCCGGTACCGACAGCCGTATCGAGATCGAGCTTGCTTCCAACTCAATGTTCGAGCGGCATCTTGCCGTTCGGACTCTGTGGCGCGTGGGCGTCCATGCTAAGCTTGGACTTGAGGTTGGCGTCGGCAGTCGCGCTTTCCACCTATCGCTGTACTGGTCCCGCCTCAAGCACCGGTTCAGTTTTCCTCTACTTCTTTCATCGCCAGGCACAACGGCATCTGTGGGCGTTGTTTTCTGGGCTGCTTTACTGCCCTTCCTCGCCATGGCCGGCGTGCAGTACGTGTCGGCTAAGCGCCCAGCTTCAAAAGCAGAAGTGTCCGGGACGAACACAACAGAAAGGATTGAATCACGCATGGCGAGGAAACGGGCTGAGGCCGAGGAGGTTGCAGCAGTTCTGACGGGCCCTGTTGAGGCCAAGCAGCAGCGTCGGCGTGAGATAGAGGGTCTCGTGATTCTAGATGCTAAGTATGGCGTCCAGTCTGCGCTGGAGGACGGCAGCGGCAGTCTGTGGAGCGCTGGAAAAGTCGCAAATGTGACAGTCGCGACGGCGGCACTTATTGACAGTCAAGGCCGTCTCGTAATCCCAACAGGCGTGAGGAAGAGCGGAGTGCTTGGGTTCTGGGACCCCGCGCCCGGGACCGCCAAGGTGCTGCAGGTACGGTACGTGTATGGCGGAAAAGAGGGAGTGGTGGATGTCAAGGGGCGGAGGGCGCTGGTGCTTCCGCCTGTGCAGGATGATGTATGAACACGTGTTATGACTTATGTGACAATCGAGAATGTCCAGTATCTTTTCGGAACACAAGAGATGCCGAGACATGACAGTTATATAGAAGCAGAGGCCTCGATACAAATAGAGATGGCCAAGACGCTTACGAGTGTGTACAAAAACTTGTTCAAAGAGTGAGCTGTGTTTGTAGTAAGATACAACTGATGGTTCAGACGGAAAAATGATGCGTATCCAGTCGAATCCCACCGAATGAAGTATTGTCACATCAGCGTTGCTGTCAACCTTGGCTATATCAGTATCGTCGACCCGTCTTTCGAGGCTCCTGCCATTTATGAGCTCAACGCAGTACGGGGCGCCAGCCCTTGCGGCCTACGAAGTCCACGACGCCTCGTCACGGAGAACGTCACTACCGAGACGCCCGTGATGAGACTACGCTCGACTTCGGGTCCGTGGACATAAAAGGGTATGTCAGAATGTCGTCTCCCCCGGGACTGCTCATCTTCTAATTCCAGGAATAGCTTCTTCACCCCACCCCCTCTCCTTTTCTTGACGAAGCCGCTCGCCGCTCGGTCCATGGAGAGGTACCACCTACGTTGGTGGACGCTGCCGATGGTGTTCTTTGCGCCAGGATAGGCGTTCGTGGCGCGGACTTGAGCGTCTTCCAATTCTTCAACCTCCTGGCGCATGGCCTGTGACAGATTGGCCGGGCCCGTCAAGGGTTTCGACTCCTCCTCCGAGACGACTTCCCTTGCATCAAGCACATCATCGTCCAGTTCCTCGTCCTCTTCTTTCTCGGAAGACGACGAATCGATCTCCTCGCTCGTCTCCACGATGACCTCCTGCTTGTGGATCATCCTTCGTCTCCTCCTCTGCGGAGCCGCTCTGCTGGCTGACCTGCTAGCCTTCTCCCTCCCCTCCCTATCTTCCTCCTTCGTCAGCCGCAGATTGAGCGTGTAGCCCCTCGCAGCTTCCCCCCGTGCAGCCGGACCCGAATCTTCCTCTCGGCAAAGGCATCCCGCAGCTTCTCCTGCTCCGTCCTGCCGTCCTCGGCCCCGTCCTCGCTTCGCTCTGAATCAGGATCAATCTCGGGCGCAGACTTGGACCGCCGCCCGAGCACCTCATACGTGCCCGTGTCCCAGACAAGCAGCGACCCGGTGGCCCGCGACGCCGTCTCGACGAGGTGGTTCCACAGACAGTGCACGCGCGTCTCGGTGGCGTTGCGGCCGAGCCGGGCCGAGCCGGGGTCGCCCGGCAGGCCGTACATGACGGCCCAGCTCGCGCTGCTCGCCCCGTTGATCTGCAGCCGCAGGTCGTAGTGCGTGCCCGCGACGGGGTGGTCGTGCTGGTGGACGACAAAGTGCGCGCCGCTCGGGGCCCCGAGGCACGACGTGTAGAGGGCGGCGTACGCCGCCACGGGCAGGCGCGGCGCGGCGCGGGGCCACGGGTCGAGAGCGGCGCCGGCGAGGACGGCGCTGAAATGTGCGGCGTGGTTGGTGATGGTGGCGCTGCCGGATTCGATGGCTGCGGCAGTTGGTGGGGCCGGTTGAGCAGCGTTGTCATCGTCGTCGTCGTCATCGGCTGCCTGGCGGTGCGTTGGTTGGGCGTCGTCGTCGGGGACGTCGAGGGCCCATTCTAGGTTTCGCTTCTTGATGAAGGGATTGGGAATGAGAGCTTGACCTGGGCTGCGTGGGCGTTTGGTGGCCATGTTGGAAGGTGTCAAGACATGCAGAATAGAACTCTGTTCAGTTCAGCGTCAGCCATAGTCCGAGAAAACAGATGCATGAAAAAGCAGCATGTTTTCTGCGCACAACCGTCGTGCCAATTCACGCCTGGCATAGTACAAAGCCGGACGTGTGCAGACAGACCAAGCGTTGCAAGTGTACATAGATGGGTTGCTTATTCATGCGCCACACGTCAGTTACTACAATCGCAGACGTTAGTTCGTTCTATAAGTACGAGATAGGTAGTTCGTTGATCTCTGGAATCATGTTCCTGTCGAATGTCTCGTGCCGTTGCTGGCAGAAATGCATCACGTGGTATGATCGAACTAGACACTGGCACCTGTAGGTAAGCTCTCTCGCTGTCGTGAGCGTTCGCGTGTCACTCGAGACTCCGTACGTAGGTAGGTACATACACACACACACACACACGTACATACACTCCGAATAACCGTTGCTCTTGCCACTAGCATGGATCTAGCACCGATTGCAGTTTTTATCAACAGGCGTGTCAAAATCCCCATGATGACGGTCCACTGTCGTATACGCAGACAAGACTGAACCCAACGTCGCCCTGAAGGCCGAAACCATGTGGAACGACGACAAGCCCTATCACCCGCCATCAATAGCGGCACAGACCAACGATGACCTCTGTCGTGAGCACTGCATTTATCCAGCTATCGGCCATCACCCGCACATCTCGCGCTGCTTTGGCCTCATCCACGACGACGATGATACTGGCGGCGCCATCGCACGAAAAGCTTGACCCTGCGCCCAAGGACAAATCTGTGCACTCCATCGAGGAAAACGCGTCGAGGCCCTTCGTGCGCCAGCGCTTGGAGATGGCTGCTGCCGTATGGACGTAGATGAACCCGATGATGCAATCGACCAGCAGTGACTGTGTGCTTCAAAGGGCAAGCGGGCGAGCAAAGCTGTCTGACAGCCATGTCCCACAATAATAATACGCCAACAAGGGCAAAGTGATTGAAGCAGTATCGCATTGAAGCACAAACGCCCAAGTTGGGGATACGCGGTCGCCGTCGCTATACAGCTGAACCTTCTTCCGTGCTTACCCTGTCCGCCTAACGCCGCGTGTTATCAAAAAACGAACGCCGCGATGTACCACAAATGTACGACCTGTACCTTTTTGTTCCGACCTTGACCTGCTTCGTATACCTACTGCCCGCAACATGTACTATACATGTTCTCAAGTGACACCGGTCCTGGACTTGCGCGTCTCGCTCAAGGCTTCTTCTCTTCAACAAGCGTGGGGGCGATTCGTCTCTTCTTGGGCTGGCTTCCGTCCTTGTCCCCGTCGCTGGCTTCCCGCTTGACACCACTGGGCTGCGTGGCAGCTGTGCTGGGGGTTTCGGGCGGCGTCGTCAGCGGCACCCCTGTAATCTTACCCGAGTTGGTGGCTGTGATACTGGGCATACTACCAACGATCAGGGATGGATTCGTCGTGACTCCTGGTTGCGCCGCAGACGACTGCGTGGCGACGGACGATGTCGAGTTTGACCGAGCGGGTGACTGAGGAGGAGGATTGGCAAAGCCTGCATGGGATGGCGGTGATGGCGCTGTCATTGCGCCCGCCGGAGTCCGCTGCTGTTGTGGCAGACCATTATTGGGGAAAGGTGATGGTGGAGCGAAGACCGAGGTAGGCGTCGGCACGGGTGTGTTCTGGTTCGAGGAAGGAGTGGCGCCGAGCACAGGATTCTTCGCCGTCGGCACCTCGCCCTGATAAACTTGGCCGAGCTCCCCAGGGGAAAAGGAGAGAGTTGAACAAAATCCGTCAGATGAAGTGATGAGCAGCGTCAGACCGTCACTTGACCTACACACTGTTAACATGCAATTTCCACACACAAGGCCTGTCAAGGAGTGCACTCACCAGGCCAAATCTGTGAATGTCGCCAAGTGAAGGTTACTGACGACACAGATGGGCGTCTGTTGCTGTGTATCATAGAGCAGGACGGAGTCTTGTGTGCCGACGGCGTAAATCATACGATAAGGCAGGGCGAAGGCAGCCTTCGGCCCAGGTGCTGCTACAGGGCTTTCTGTGCTCGGCCTGACCTGTGTCGCACTCGACGCCTGCTGTTCTGAGGATGACCCAGGTGGCGGCGGCGGGTCCATGACGGATGACCCGGGAGACTGATTGGAAACGGGCTCTGGCAAAGCTGGAATAGGTTCTTCTGCCGACGACGTGTCAATGGTGATGTTTTTCGTTACTACAGGCGCCGTTCGCATGGTGTAAAAGATGGGTGAGCACTTGACGACCACCGACGGCTTCTTGTGGCCTGGCAGATGGGCAACCGGCGCCTTGTTGATGCCGCCCCTGCTGTAGATGTAGACGGTGTTCGTAACTTCGTAGGTAGATTTGGCGTCAGCGACGTGCTGGCTTTGATACTGCCCTGCGGGCGTCAAGAGCAGGCTGCCGTCGGGAGTGAAGGTCAACCGCCGGAAGAAGGATGTCAGCGTCTCGTTTGCATACAGGCTGGCGTTTCTTGGTACCATGACTCGGGTTCGCAGAGGCATGTGGCTTTGGAGACGGTTCCATCGGCATGACGGCCCGGCAGAGGCATGGACGGTGCGGGGGAGGGGGACCTCCTTGCCGAGGAAGAGAAGGAAGATCGCCGGCTGTGGCTGATGACACTGGGCGGGTTCATAGGAAGCGCAATGGAGGTCGGCGTTCCGGGAGCGGACGGCACGGGTGAGCCAGCAGTGCCATCCACGGCCAGGTAGGTGGAGCGGAAGCCGAACTCAGGAGGCGCCGGACTGCTGGATGATATGCGCCGTGGCGGCAGTTCACTCTTGTTGTGGCTCGCGATCTTGGATGGTTTGTCGTCGTGTGAACCGCTCAAAGTGTACTGTCCGTCTTTCGTTTTGAGAGAATAGACGTGAACGGATCGATCTGACGACTGTGTGGCGACGAACTCGTTCAAGGGGTCCCACGTCACGCCTTGCACGTAGTGGCTATGCTCGGCGATTTGACGGATCAAGACGCCGGAGCTGGCGTTGTAGATGCGCGTGATGTTGTCCATGCTGCCGATGATGAAGTATGTACCATCGGGCGACCATGCCAAGTCGTATATCTCAGAGCCACTCGAGCGGCACATGTGTTTGGTTCGCCATGTCTCCTTGTCTTCGAGGCCCTCGTTGCCGAATGCTGGACCGGTATGGTGCTCGGCGGGCACCCAGAGGATAACATTGCCGTCGTCACCCGCGGATGCGAGCATATCTCCTGGAGAACAGATTGCTTAGCTGGGGGAGGCAGATTGGAGCAAGCTCGGAGCGAAACATACCCTTGGGTGACCATCGTACAACGTTGACTGCCTGTGTGTGCTTGGACAAGGTGGACAGGTACTCGACCTTGCGATCCTCGCCGTTGCCCTCGACTTTCCATATCTAGAAACCCTTGGTCAGTCTCTCTTGTACCATTGAAAGTTGGAATCCGCCTCCTCGTCAATTGCTTGTGCTTATGGCCGACGTACCCTGACGTTGTTGTCCCCTCCAGCCGTAGCCAGCCGCCCCTTGCCTGACTGCTCGAAATGTGCGGAATAGACTGGGGCGTTCTGGTCATGCCAATTGATAATCAGAGGTGTGCTTTTCATCGTGTCGGCAGCGTATGTGGAGGACGGAAGGAGAGATGCATGTGAAGTTTGTGTTGGTGGTACTTGTCGATGGCCGATACGGTTTGGGAGCTCAAACTAGCTGGCCAGGATGGGAGGCGGGGGGGGGGCTAGCTCGGAGGATGTGTTTGTCGAGTCTCGATGGCAGGTTGGTAGAGGTTCTGGTTACAATTTCTAGACGATGCGTCGTAGCTGGCTCTTCGAGCTCAGGGTCTGCTGGGACGGGATTTGTGGCGAGTGTTTCTGTGGCTTGAGGGAGGGAGGTTCGTGCTAACGTTTGGCTGTTGATCGATATGTTTTGACGTGGGGGAGATTGGGAAGTGACAAGGTCTACGACCAGGAGCTCTCTGTGGGAGGAGGTCCACTACAACAAGTATCAGGTAGATTCAGCAGCTGGAAAAGATGTCGTCGATGGAAGAACGATGGCGATAGCAGGGAAAGAAGGTCGTTCAAAGCAGAAGATCGGGAACGGGAATTAGCATAGCAGGCTTGGTTGCTGCTGTGAACAGTAAGGTCAGGCAAAGGTGTAGGCAAGGTAGGCAGGCGATCCAGCCAACTGGAGGTCAAGGTCACGAGCTGCTCCTACCTACACCTACCTAGGTACAGTCTGAGTGGCTACTCCAGGTCCCCAAGCCGAACAGCAGGTACTGTATACGGTCCGATATGGACGGTGTTAGGCACGGTAAAGGTAGCGGGTACCTGTCTGACAGGCTCCAAACAGACGGGCTGTGAGTGGAGGCCGCAGCGGGAGGAGTGGGGACAGTCTGGGACGTGCCTGCCTGACGTGGTCGTGTTACCAGGATGAGACGGAGGGCAGGTGCAGATGAGCAATGGATTGGATCGTGCTCCCTCGCACGTATGGCCGCCTTCCCTCTTCCCAGCTACTGCTCGTGTTGTGCTCGGATCGGATAGGCCCCGCGCCTGGGCATCTCACGAGGGAGCGCGCGAGTGGTCATTTCTCACCTGGTCATCTGCTGCATGGTGCATTATCTCCAGCTGCCTCCCCTGCCTCCCCTTACCGCCCCCCCTACTGCACATCACCTCCTGCCCTGCGTGGACAAAGGTACGACATGGTAAGCCTCCTCGTGCGCCGGCGAATCCTCTGCGGTGAGCCGGTAGCGAGCTGTCTGGGCGCTGCAAAGACCCAGTGCGCGGATGAGATAGCGGCCACACGACCGTCGGTGGTGGGCAGCCTACACGTACTGCACTCTTCGCAGAATCCATACGGGCCTTCATCATTCTGACGTGGAAACCTTGACAGCACTACCCGTCGAGGAGCCCCTCGCGCAAGGAACGCCGAGGCATCCCCTACGATCAACTACCTGCGATCAACTGGGTATCTTGCCTATGTATATGACTGGCTTGCATAACACCTAAGCACTCACACAGCCAGGGTCGAGACTTCGCTGACAGGCTGCTTCTTTCTGTGACAAAGGGCAAGGCAACGAGACCATAAACGAGGCGACCTCATGCGTGAAGAAAAACCTGAAGAAATCAACATTCGCCATGTACAATCTAGTCAAGGAATGCTGCTGTCAATGACGGCAAGCTGCTACTGAATATTCACTTTTCGTCACCCAAAGATCACGCCCCGAAGCTTTTCCTTCTCTCCGCTCTCCTCGCACATGCCCCGGAAGACGCCGTCCCGTCCCTTCTCCCACAGCGCCTTCGGCGACCCAAACTCGACGACCTTGCCCTCGCCCAGTACCAGGATCCGGTCAAAGTCCGCAATCGTGCTGAGGCGGTGCGCAATGACGATGAGCGTCGAGTCCGTAAACTCCTCGCGGATCGACCGCTGGATCAGCGCGTCCGTCGCCATGTCGACCGCCGACGTCGCTTCGTCGAGCACCATGATCTTGGGTCGCGCGACAATGGCGCGGGCGAGACAGAGGAGCTGCCGCTGCCTTGCGAGAGGTTGAGCCGCCTTCCGAGACTGCAGACGACAGGCTGCGGAACGGGTTCGCATTCCTCGCCACGACAGTTGTGGGCGACGAGGCCGGTCCGGAGGGCGTGCCGGGAATCGAAAGACTCGCCTGCGCCGACGAGGTGCACCGCGCTGCAGCGAATCCTCGAGCTCGGCGTCCGAGCGGTCGTTGAAGGGGTCGAGGTTCGTTCGGACCGTGCCCGAGAAGAGGACCGGGTCCTGCGGGATGATGGCGAGGCGAGAGCGGAGCTCCTGCAGCTTGATCTTGGAAATGTCGAGGCCGTCAACGTGGATGCTGCCTGACCGTGCCTCGAGGAAGCGGAACAGCGCCAAGGTGAGAGAGGACTTTCCGGCGCCCGTCCGGCCAATCACGCCGATGCGCTCGTTCTTGTTGACGCTGAATGTCAGGCCCTTGAGGACGGGCGGCAGATCATTGGCGTAGCTGACAACGAGGTCGTTGACCTCGAGACGGCCCTCGGTGGGCCACATGGCCGGGGGCTCTTCGCCACCCTGGTTTTCGGTGGGAAGTTCCGAGTATTCGACAACACGCTCGGCAGCATTCATGTCGAGCTCGATGCTTGCGTAGTTGCGAATCGCCCAAAGGACCGACTCGGAAAAGTCGAGCGCGAAGGACAGGGTGAAGCCAGCGAGCGCAGCGTCCATCTCAGCATCGGCCAGGATCATGGCAGCCACGACGACGGAGAACATGGCACCCACAATGGACATGCGCCAGCCCATCCAGCGGTTGAACAGCCACAGATGCCATGTCGCCATGTCATAGTCGTCAAGCTTGGTGTACAAGGCGTTGATGTAGCTATGCGACTTGTCAAAGCCACGGATAGTAGTCACGCCCGTGAGAGCAGAGCCGAAAAGCTCAAAGATGGGCGACTTGGTTGTGCTTTCAAGGCGCTTGCTGGGACGAGCGGCGTCGAGGTAACGCAGAGCGATTCGAGCGCAGATCAGAAGGAGGATCGTGGCCAGAACAATGATGAGCGGAGATACAAACATGGAAGCAATGCAGATGCCGATAACGCTGAGGGCCGAGTTGAGCGTCAGCGTCAGGTCAATGGCAATGCGGCTATCGATGATGTTGAAGTCGGCGGTGAAACGGTTGAGAATGCGGCCGACGGGCACCGTATCGAGCCATCGAAGCGGCGTTCGCAGGACCGTGTGCGTCATGTTTCGGAACATGTGCCTGCTCGCCTTGAGACTCATAAGGAACAGGTAGAAGAAGCGCATGACACCCAGAGCTACCGTGCCCAAAGAGATGGCAATATAAACAGCAAGGTAATAGTTGAGACTGCGGGCCTGTGTCGTCCGGAAAGGCGTCGAAGCTGTGTGGATTGTGCTGTGCTGGAGAGTCGTGGCATAGATATGGTCATACTCCTCGAGTCCGTGAACATGAGCTTCCGCAGTGTCGCCGGTCCAGACACGAAGCCACCAGGATCGGCCGAGAGTGATGACCTCGAAGGAGACGAAGATGAGCGTAGCCAGGGTCCACCACGACCAGCCACCACTGTCGCGAAGATACGTGGCATAAACGTGCTTCTTGATAGCGCCCTGCTCACGCGTCTCATCCTCGACAAATTGGCGTGCGGATTTGGACGGCACCTTCTTGATGACACCACCGTCAGTGTCTTCGTTTTCGAGTACTTGAATGGCGTCAACGTCAACGTCCGACGCCTGCTCCGAGTTGACGGCTGTGGCTTCGTCGTCGCCGATGTTGTCGGCATGGGACTGCTCATGGCTCTTGATGAGCTGCAGTGTTCCATCCTCGTCCAGTTCAGAGAGAAGCCCATTATGCTGAACCGTACCATCGCCGAGCTCGACGATGTATTTGGTCTTTGACTCGCAGAGAGCAACGTGATGTGTCACGAGGATTCGAGTTCGTCCCTTGCTGAGAGGTCCAGTCAGGCACTTTTCGAAAATGTGACGGCCGACGTGGGCATCAACAGCACTGAAAATGTCGTCAAACACGAGAATACCGGCACGAGAGTAGATCGCCCTAGCCAGTGTAACACGCCATTTTTGGCCGCCGCTGAGGTTGATGCCGTTGGTACCAAGCTCCGTCTTGTCGCCGTCGGTGAACATATCCAGATCCTTAGTCAGTGCACATGCGAAGACAGTATCCTTGTATCGCTTTTCGTCATACGGAAGGCCGAAGAGAACGTTGTCCTTGAGGGAGGCGTTCTCGATCCAGGGAATCTGGCCGACGTATGCAATGCTGTGGGGAAGGAGCCAGTTGCCGGCGTTGGCTTGACTGTCGTTGCGTTCAATTCTGGTTGGCGCCTTGGGGGCATAGATCTTGCCGGAAAGCAAATCGGTCTCGCCCAGGATAGCAGCGAGCAACAGACTCTTTCCAGAACCGGTCTTGCCAGAGATGACCGAAAGCTCACCGGCTGGGAAACTCAAGTTGACATCGCGCAAAATGAAACGATCGGCGTCGTCGGTTTCTTCATCGACAGGCCAAGCAATGTCGGCGTTCTCAAAGGCAATATCGTGGCCCTCTGTGATGGTCTGTGTGATCTCAGGTCCGTTAAGATAGGCTTCAATTCGGAAGATGGAGACTTTGGCATCGACGAGATCTGTAGTCAGCTCGGGAATCAGCGACAGCGCGAGCTCCAGAGATTTAAAGACACCAATGCTGACGAATGCGACAGATGGCGTCAGAGTCTCGTTGATCCAGGCGTAAACGGCAAGAGACGTCGCAGCGAGAAGAACCGGGATGGCGACCCAGGAGCCGAATAGCATCGAGTCGCTTCTGAACACGTCCCAGATGGCGCTGAGCTCTCGCTCTCTCATGGCAAGGATCCGGCCCTCCCACTGTCGCTCCAGTGCGGAGAACTTGATCTGACGCATGCCCTGCAAGCTTTCGTTGACGAGGGTCAGCTTCTGATCCCTAATTTTCATGAGACGGTCCTGCGCGTTGGAGTACACCTTGGTGTAGTAGATGTTGAACGGCAAGATGACGGCCCAAGTGGCGAGACCGGAGAGCAAAGGGATCCAGCCTAGCAGGGAAACGAGGAACCAAATGGCGAAAGCCAGCTTTGTAGCACTTGCAGGGAAAAAGAATTGGAAAGCGGCAAAGTCAGCCACTCGCTTGGTGTCAACACCGATCAGATTAACGACACCCTGCTGAGATTTGAGGGCATCGGCATCCGATTCCTCTTCCTCATCCTGGCCGTCTTTCTTGGTGTCGTCGTCATTGGTGCTGACTTTTAAGGCGTCCGTCTTGCTGGCTTGTTTGACATTTTTGCGACGCATAGCCTTCTCGACAATCAGAGCAGAAAGGAGTCCGCGCAGGGGGATGC